GTAATTGAACATTACGAGATCGAGAAATCTTTAAAATTTTCAAAAATATAAATGCATATTTAACAAACTTTTTTTTTCATTATTTAAAATATAAAAAAACACTTTTTCTTTGATTGTAATAATAAAATTGATGTTGTATTGAAAAAGCCAAACTTATAGCTATTCTTTAAGCCTGACTTTCTCCTACATTTTTCACGGAAAGTATGTGTTTCTGAATCAACGAAGTGACTTCCGTCTTCTTCTAAATTTTCACAGGCTTTCTTAAAGTTTTTGATCAATATTAGTTCAATAAAATAATGTTTTTTTAACATTTTTTTCTGCATTCAAAAGTTCTGCGTTTATTGGAAAAATATTAGAAGTATGCCTCTAGTCGTAAAAAAAATAAATATTGCGAGATATATTGATTTTGTAGAATGTGTCGAAAAAAACGTACGTTGCATTTGCTACATTTAAACTCATAAAATATCTGATTTTTACTAGTTGAAGAGTGTTAAAAACTGTTGACGCGATATTACGTGTTATCATTTTACAAAGTATTTAGCTCTTATTAATATAATGAAGCAATTATTGAAAAGCATCCATATTTTGCGGTTGTAAAGTACTATTATTACAGGAAGATATTTATAGATATAGCAATATGTATTAATAACTTCTAATAATGTAGAAGTAATGAAAGAATTTATACAACAAAAAGTTTCTCTAAATGAAAAAATCCTTCCTATATATTATAAGTAAATTAAACAAAAAGAAATCTTTGAAAACATCCACATTTTTCACTCATTCTATCAATCGATTTTTGAGAATTATTCAATATCGTAAAATATTATGTTACATATATCTTATTTCGATAGAATTTTCTTTTAGTAATAAATTTATTAATTTTTTGTTTTCTGTTTTAAACTGTTTTAAGATTAAAAAATTATTTCGAATGTCTTCTCTTTCCATTCAGAACCCATGACCCATTCAAATCGATATAGAATGGTAATGGAGTTGGTCGAGGTCGACCTCTTGTTATACAACTCTTGGGAACTCTTAAATCTCGCGTATTTGTAGCAGGCCATCGCATTTCCGAAAACTCGAAGCCGAGAGGAAGTTCGAGTTGCCTCTACTAGAAACTCGAAGAGACGCAGCGGTTGAGTTTTCTATCAAAAGGATGGAAACCCTCTTGTCTTTTCTATAGTTATTTAGGAGCCTTGGAAGAACTGGTAACGTGTCATGAACAGCACCAGCCGAGCTAGGCGAGATATACAATTTTCAAAACATTAAGTACAAGTACAAGAAAGCATTTTCATCCTCAGTTAAACACGATTTCGAGAAAAGAAAGCATTGTCTTCATATAATCTGTTCTTTAGAGACCTGAAGGTTTTGAAACGAATAATATGTTTAAGCTATTTTTACATTAAACAAAAACAAATTAATAGCGTATATTCCAAGAGAGATATTTTTAATAAACCAATTTTAAACAATGTGCCAAATTTATTATTTTCAGGGTTACCACAGAAAATGAATTTTAAAATTCCCTGACTTTTCCAAGTTTTCCAGATGAAAATAGAAAATTTTCCATGAGTAATATAAAATATGTAAATTTTAACATTTAGATTCACGGCTTGTAGGCTCTATATTATTAAAAACAACGCCAATAAAGCTTAGTAGTACAATTTTGAGTGCAAATTCAAGCCATAGCAAAAAATAAATTAGTTTTGGAAAAAAAGAATGCAGTTTTGAAAAAGAGGGATCAAATAAAAATATTGAATAAAATAAAAATTTTAATTATTTTATTAAAATCGTTTAAAGTGCACAAGTTTTGAACGTGTTTTACTATAAAAATCAGATATAATATTTAAAAAATTATAACAATTATTTGAAGTAGAAGCAGTTTCAGAGAATTGTGAGCAAATTTCAAAATTCCACTTTTTTACATTTTCCCCTGACTTTTCTCGGTTTTCATGACCGATTTCAATTTCCTTGACTTTTCTCGGTTTTCCCGGTTTTCCGAGTCTGTGGCAACCCTGATTTTATTAATATATAATTTATTAAGCAAGCCTAAAAAGAGATTTATATATTAATATTAATATACAATAATTATAAGTCCTTTAGTTTTTGCTTAATAATTTTCACTTAATAACTATAAGTATATTAAGTTTAATTAAAGTTTATCATTTTTTTATTTCTTGATTATATATTCTGTAAACATTAAAATTAACATGAGATAAAAATGAAGTTGTAATAATCTTTTATCCTTCAAAGATTTTTATCCTTCAGAACGTTTTTCCCAATAATTTTTCGAGCAATTAGCTAGATAACGATTGCGTCAAAGCACGAATAGCCAGAACTCTTACGTGACTCACATTGAATCACCAACGATAACGAAGTAATCGCTATAAGAGGGAAAATCTTGACATTTCTTACACGTCGTTCAAAGAGAATTTCTTTTGCTACATTCGTCGTACGAATGATAATCCGTTCTGTTAACATCAACAGAAACGCAAATGCGATTTCCGAGTTTTTTTAGAAAAACATCATGGCAAGGTGCTAGCGCGAGAAAGAAATAATTTCATTAATAAAATCAATTACGTTAGCATTCGTTTTCGCAACAAAATATGGCTTATTGGATAACATCCATAATTTGATTTTTCTACCAGCGTGTATGCATCGAATGAAATTATTATTAATTATTATAGATGGTTTAAACATTTAATTATAATAGCGTACAGTGTTTCATCATTTTCCAATTATATCACTTTATTAATGTATCTATAAATTAAAAATATATTATATTAAAATAAGACAGATTTTTA